CTCTAGCCCGGGCAACAGAGTGAGACTCTGTCTCAAAAAAAAAAAGAAAAGAATAAGATATAGTATACGAAGCTACACCAAAGAAAACTTTCCTTATTATAATTAAATTTCTGACTCTAATTCCAGAAAAAAATCTTGACATTTTCATTATGTGTTATAACTTTGCCTCCTTTATAAGTGGCATATTTTTACTGTCCATTATATTTTCCCCAGAGAACTAAAGGATCTACAGCCTCCAGCTTGACAAACTCTGTATTATCAGGATCAGAGATTAAAATAATTACTAAGTCCCAAGTCCCCCCAGGCAATTCTGCTACTACCCTTCAGCACAAGGCATTAAAGGTATATATAGGCTGGGTGAGGTGGCTCACGCCTGTAATCCTAGCACTCTGGGAGGCCAAGGTGGGAGAATTACTTGAGCTCAGGAGTTCAAGAGTAGCCTAAGCAAGAGTGAGACCCCCTCTCTACCAAAAAGAAAGGAAAAAAACTCTAGCCGGACATTGTGGTGCATGCCTGCAGTCCCAGCTACCTGGGAGGCTGAGGCAGGAGGATCACTTGGAGCCCAGGAGTTGGAGGTTGCCCAGGAGTTGGAGGTTGCAGTGAGCTACAATGATGCCACAGGGCAGCAGACTGAGACTCTGTCTCAACAAAAACAAACAAGGCAACTGAACACTCCTCCTCACCACCCCCCATCCCTTCATTAAAAAAAAAAAAAAGGTACATATAACTGTTCAACAGCAAAAGCAAACTTTACATCCTACATCTTATTTTAAAACATGAAACCCATGGAAAATTCATCATTGTGACTAGAAATAAGCTAAATAAGCTAAATAAGCTCTCTTGGAGCTTTTTGTGGACAAATCTGTACTGTTTCTATAAGTAATAACACAGATTAGTTTCCCCAAGAAGTTAACTTGTTGCAGATTTGTGTCCACAGTTTCCTTTGGGTTAATGGCCAACATTCAAAGTCTTTTATTGAAAGAGCTCTTCTGAATAATGTTACAAAATAATAGTTCAAAATTACATGTTACAAACGGAGAGAAGAGATACACTGTTTTAAATATAGCCATTATGGAAAGCACTAGGAAATGCCCAGGAAAAAGATGGAGACAGTGTTGAAAAGCCTCTAGGTGTAGAATTCTTTGCTCTGGGAGATACAACTGAATACTACTTTCATAATATTCAACTTTAAAAAAGACCTATTCTTACATAAATTCTAAGATCTGGAATTCCTAGATCTGGAATCTAAAGCTATCATAATCTATTATAATATTACCAAAAAAGCAAGTTTTTTATTGCCATAATTTTATTGTAGTCTAAGAAAATATATTTAGTCTTCAAGTACATTTTATTTATTAAAGCACTTCATACAGATTATATCATAAATTCTTCTCCAGTAGATCAAGTAAATAAAGATGAACTTATTTAAAAATCATTTATCATTCCCCTACATGTCAATAACCAAGTATAAAGTTTTAAAAATATATAAAATCACAATACCAATCAAAATTTAAAGCATCCAAGAACTAATATAACAAATGAATGCACAAGATCTTTATAAAGTAAAGCTTTAGTAAAGATTTAACGATTGAATATTTATAATAAAAAAAGGAATA